ACGTCTACCGGCCATGGAACTCCCAAGAAAAGGAGTAACGTTGACGGCACAGGCTCTGGACGGGAAGCCGTACGGTGGCATTCTCCCCCACTTCCTGCGCCGTCCTACCCCTTACCCGGGCTGCCGCCCGGGCTTGCAACCGTCACCACCCGGTCGAGCCCGTTTGATGCGCTGGTGAAGAGCAAAACCCCGTCCCTCGTGCCATGGTCAACCCAGCAACTCCAACCCACTGTTAGGAGGGGTCGTACCGACCTTCCCCCCTTCGGGGGGCACTTTGGGAGCACCACTGGTTTCAAGGTCGCTGCTCTGTTTCCCTCCTTGTCGGGTAAAGCTTTGCAGAAAATCGGGGCATTTTTTGGTGAGTCGCTGGGCACCTCGGGGAGTACCTCCCTTGCCACCGACCGGATCATCCACGCCATCGACGGGCTTCGTAAGGCCCAAGATGAGGACAAGACCGGTACTAAGGGGACGTTAACCTCCATCAAGGAGCCTGAGAAGCTTCGGAGAGACCCAGATAGAATTATGCCCCGGAGTTTACGGCAAGGAGCTCTTTCATGGCATCAAACGGGCCGGGGACCATGCCAAGCACATGTTGCAGCTCATCCGCTGGCCCGTTCTGATAACAAGCCGCCTGGCCCTTTCTATCGCGGGACTCTGGTGGGGGTGGGAAGAGAGTTATACCCTCCTGGCAGCCGACTGCGCCACTGCCAAGGCTGAGCAAGTGGAGGCCTGGACTCCCCCCACCGATCATCGGCTCGAGCAGAGGAGCAAGGCATTAGCCGCTTTCCTCACTTGGTTGAGGTATGCAGAAAATGCCGTCAAAGTATTTGGCTCGGCGTACGGATTGGAACATGTCCCAGAGAGGTTAGCGTTCCTATCCTTCCTCCGCGAAGCCAACGAAGAGGACGAGAATGCATACCCGGTAAATTACTGCATAAGGCTCTACGAAGAGCTTAACGCAGTCTGGTGCGAGGCCATTCGCGAAAGCCGACGCCAACTATGTGCCAAACTGGGCACGGAGAACCCGCGGCTCGAGGACCTCAAGCTGATCGCCCTCGCCCCCAGCGATGATGGCACCCCAATTTTCCAGTTCCCACGGGTATGGGACCTCAAAGATCCTCAGGGCTATTTCCAGACCGTTGTCCTCCCACGCCAGCAGCGGGCCATGACACGGCTTCTCAACAAGCAGCTTCATGAACAAGCCCTTAACCATCCCCGAAAGCCAAACAAAGCGGCTGGCACTGATACCGGTAACTGCGAAGACGAGGTCGAGACCGACCCAAAAGCCGGTAAAGGACCGAACCTACGCTTGAGACGCAATGATCGCGAGGAGGCCGCCCCTTCCTTGCCCGACCGCTCGCACCCAGAACCCCGTAAGGCTTACCCTGCGGGTCGGCGGCTGACCCCCCAAGAGGTGACCCGTTCGGTTACCCACGCGCCGGTCCCATTTGCTGGGATGCGGCGTGTCACATCGGTTGCGCTCGGGGCTCTAGTTGCCCGAATGCACATGAGCCTTTGCCCTCCATGGGCAAACTTGATCCTTCGGTGGCTATGCAAATACTACGACGAGGAGGTCTTCGTGGTGACAAGAAGGTCGATCCGATGGAAGTTGATGGGCGCGTTGCACAGCTTCGAGCTCAGATGAAGGATGATCAACAGAGCAAGCAGCAGGATGGAGGAAAACCAGAGGGCAAATCCAAGGCTAAAGCCAAGGCCAAGGCCAAGCAGGCAAAGCTAAGGCTGGCTGGCAGCTTTCACCCCGATTTCCAGGGCCCCCTCACCGTCATGGAAAAGGAGCTCAACGAAGTCGGGCTTGGGCCGGACCTGTCCTGGCATACGTCCTTCCGCCCCGGTCAGGTTACTGACGATACCCTCATTTGGGGAAAATAGAATTTTTGTTTTAGAAGATATATCTATTCTTACAGCACCTTCAGGCCACGCCGCAAACCGTTCAGAAGGGTTGAGGAGGGCGAGTATTTGGTGCAAACGTCAAGGAGACAAAAGGGTTCATTGACTTAAGGATGGTACGCAGTGCTCATTGCTATTTTACAATCAAACAATGAAAACAGTTATTGCCAAAATTTTGAGTTAAACCTACGATCACGATCAGTTATGGGAAGCAGACGCTCGGGCAAAAATTGAGTATGATAATCGGCAAAAGGGATTTTAGAGTGCCTATGAGGAAGGAGATATGGTGTTTATGAGGAATCGTGACTTTGGTAGAGATCATATCTACCCAAATCTGACACATTTTCAGATGAGAGAGAGAGAGAGAGAGAGAGAGTTTCACCGCAGTCGAACGCGCGCGCATAGAGCGAGTGGCCAGGTGGTTGGTCTGGGATTGCGAGAGGTTGTTCCTCACCTCCGAACATGGTATGCGCAAAATACCGCGGTTTTGCAAAAGTGACGCGCTTATTCGCGAGGCGCAGCAGCAGACGGGGTACCAGTAAACTAGGTAAAACACAAGTTAAAAACAAGGATTGTGCACGGATGACAATCACAAATACAAAATTGGTGGCTCCGTCGATAGCGATGCGCTCGTATCATGTGCAGGTGACACTGTTCATGTGCAGGTGACACTATTCTTGTGCAGGTGTTGGCATGGTGGGTACACCACAGTGAGAGACTTTGTAGCAGATTTGCAGTATCAAACGTATCGAAGCTGAGCTCGCCCCCCTCCGTGTGCCCGCCTTCCACGTCCTTTTAAACACTTCGGGGGTAGCAACGTGTGTGGTGGCCCAAGATGGAGAGGGATGTTAGATTGTACTTTGAAACAACATCACGCCTTGGAAATACAGCTAACACAAGCAGCTGTACAAGCCGCTCAAGACCAGTAAATGCGCTCTACCTTGGCGCAGAAGTTAAACACTAGTGCGGAGGGTGAAAAGCAAGCACACCAGAAACTTAACGCTGCCCTCCAAAAAATATCTGAAGTCTCATCTGTATTAAAACCACATTATATTTCTTCCGGCGCAATTAAATAAATATAAAAACCCGCTGGTTAAAATCGTTATATTAGTAATGCATTTTTTGTTCCAAAATCTAGTGGTGGAGTTCACCTCTCCAGTTCCTATTGAAGAAACTATTGAATTTATTTCTTTATTTTTATTGATCTTTGAAAGTGAATTTTTTTCAACGTTAACAAATTTACCCTTTAAAGATAAAATAGCTTGTATTCAAAAACAGACATATTTCCTTGGCGAAGTCGCAAAAGTTCGTTTTACCACCGTCGTACACGATCTACATCGTCAAATTGTCGAGCTAAAGTATTAACTTTAATATACAATAATTTCATGTTGTTTTATTTTAAATTGAATATTTTGTTTGATTTCTGGTACTAAATAGCTATTATAACATCGTAAGTGGACCGAAAGCTGTTAAAATTTTGGAGCATGAGGATTTGTTTAAATACACAGATGGGGTAAAAGGGGGGGGGTGGATTAAAGAGGGGGGGGAGCGAGTAGAAGTGTTTGGACTGGAGGATGTGGTGATTGGACCCTATTTGAGGCGAGAGAAAGGAGGTATGTATGAGAAGATGCTGATGTGTCATGGTGATTTGACTCTACTGTCATCCTGGCACTTTCCCCAAAATTGGTCAAATTTCGGTGATTGTTGGCTCCCCTTGCTGCCTTCAACCCCTACTTGCAGTCCCATGTCGCAGCTCGCTTGGTGAATGCCCGCCTCGATGGGACGCCTCTGACGTTGCAAGAGGTCTTGGTCACCGCCGCCCACGAGGGACATCCGCACCTAGCCCAAGAAGCGCAGGCATGTCTGGAAGGCGCCGGAAGATGACCCGCCGGAAGCCGCCGTGACGTCTTGCCCCATGGCATCCTCCCCTGCCCAGTATTCCAGCGGTGCCGTGCACCTCACCTCCAAGTTGTACCCTAAGGGTTCACGAGGAGGAGCTCATGCAGGATCCGACCGATTCCAAGGTGGAAGAGGTCCTGACCCGCTCGGGTGTGGCCGAGTCCCTGCTAGGGAGGGTCCCCAAGCAGAACCCAGATCGGACCATCTCCTCCGAGGGAGGCCCATAAACGACACGAGGAAGCAGAACGCCTCCGGCTCGAAGTTCATGACTCCAAGTGGCTAATGGACGATGGAGTGGTCTTGGAACCCCTCGTTGGGAACCGAGTATACCATTCCCTTGCATGCTTGGATCGAACCATGGTTGCGGTATGGGGCAAAGAGGGTGTCAACGTGGAAAAGATGGCAGAGGAAGGCGAGCCAGCGGGCACTCAACTCCTCTGCAGGTTGTATATGGACTTCGACCAGCAGGTGATCAGTCTCCCAGAACCAAAACGGATGAAGCCTAAATACCTACTGGCTGAACCAGCCCTTCAGCGCGGCAACCGCAGGGAGGGCACAAGCACTTGGTGCACGCACCCACGGGACCTGCATGCGCTTTCACCAGCAAGGTGACCCCTCTGAAAGGCAGGGGTGGGACATTGTTGCCTTGTGAAAACGGCGGGGTCCGTCACCTCACGGATGACGAGATCAGACGATGCCAAGGCGTGGAGGATTCCGCCTACAAGGGACTTCGGAAAGCTCGGACCGAAAACGAGGTGATGGCTAGCGTTGTTGTGGGACCCGGGTGGCAGGCGGCTGGTGCGATCATAGGCCTGCTTGAGGTCGACGGGGCAGGGAGGACAAAGCAGTTGTCTCGACCCCGACGAAGAAGCGGCCGCTTCTCAGCTAAATCTGGCTGCAGGCCTGGTCTAGGAGGAAGGACTCCCCGAAGGACGAATTGGAGCTTCTCCCTCATTCCTGGCAAGAGCCCATGGCCCTCCCCACTGCGTGGCAAAGCGACGAAAGGTGCGGTGGGCCTAGTTCCAAACGAGAGGACAAGGATCTGGTGGTCCCTCGCCATCAACCTCGAGCAGTTGATCAACTACCTCGAGGAAAACTACCCTCCAGGCGCCAAGCGATCGGGGACGTTCCGTCCGACCAATCCAGGAGCGGACCTTGGTTCGATCCCAGAAGGAGGAAGACCCACCTTGAAGGCGAGGTCATCAGTCGCCCCTTCGACAGTGGCGAGGCCGATTCAGAAGGGCCACACCCCTCAGCCGACTCAGTGGCTGCTCCAGCCCCATCGGTGGATGACCCGATGGAGGTTGACGCACCCCCTGAGCCGACCGCTGAGGAGAGCCTAGATGAGGAGGTGGTCTTGGAGTCTGGCATGGTCCCCGATTACGACCTCCCGGACTATGACGAGTAGGTTAGGGGTTTAGCTCTGGGTCCCCGGAATTGCAGTCGTGCACGTCCTTGAGGGCTGTGCATGGCAGTCTTGTAGGTTAGGGACGTACCGTCCAGAGCTTCTCTTTTCCTACCTGTACAGGTGTGTGCATAGCTCGGAGTTTTTCTCGTTTCACGGGACGTTCCGGCCGAGCCTGGGGGGCGCGCACCGGCCCAAGTTTCACCAGTGATCCCATGCGGATCAAGGTGGAGCTACGCCTCCCCATTTTGCACAGCCCTACCGATCGCAGTGTGACGCAAAA